AGAGAAATGCATAAAATGGAGTCCCCCTTCCTTTCTGTCTTCAGATATTGTCTTATGAGGCAGCCAGCTATCTTATCACTCTGAGGAGAAAGCCAAGAGAACTGCAGAGAAATCACCAGAGCCCTAACCTTGTTAAGCTGTTGAATCCTGAAACCAACCTTCTAACTTCTTGTTATACAAAAAATTAGATCTTATTGTTTAAGATATTTTTCATCAGATTTTCTTTTAATTGCAAGCAAAAGCATTCTAGCTGATATACGAGTGAAGTTCTGAAATCAGAGACTTGGTCTGAAACTATGTAGCCTTGGGCAGGTAACTTTCTTCGTCTACAAAATGTGATTAAAAGTCATTACCTTATAGAGTTGCTATAAGGATTAAATGAATATGAAGTATTTAGCAAGGTGTCTGTCACATAGTAAGAAATCAATAAATGTTAGCCATTATGACTACGTGAAGGCCCTTTTATAAGCTATAAAGAACTGTACAAGCACAGTAATTGTGTATTATTATTATTTTTTATTTGTTAAATTCTGGTTTAGAAGGTGCAGTAAATTGAAAAGAAACAAATCGTAATCTCTGTCCTCACTGAGTTTATAATCCCGATGAGGCAAAGATGACTAACACTACAAGGTAATGAACTATGAAATGAATGACACTCCACTTTCTCCCTGTCAAAGAGATTGTTATGATCAGAGACAGTATCACACAGGAGATGGGATTTCACCAGGGACTGGAAAATGGGTAGATCAGCAAAAGACAGATAAAAACAAACACCATGAACAAATCCTGAAAATATGGGATATGAAAGGCATCTTATGTAAAGCATTTATCTAGTTAGAAAACATGCTTTTCCCAGGCTGATGTTTTTCCTTCTATGTGGAAAGAACTTCATTCATTCATTTTCTGGCCTCTCTCAGCCCCTTTATTCAATGTGCCTCAGGGTAAAGGTTGCAGTTTGGTCTCCAGGTGCCACTCCTTCATTTTCTCTCTCTTTCTATTCATAACGCAGGTGGGGGAACAGAAGTGCTATTAATTGGGTACCTGTAGGACCCCTACACATCCCACACCCAGGCCTCTCTAAAGCTAGTCTTCAATTCTGGCTTGTTAATGTAGTTAATTTCTTACAATCTCATCTACTTCCCTATTTACATACTTCTTACTTCTCTCCCTGCTATTTGAGGGATAGGTCTCTGAGTCTAATCCATTTTAAAGTCTCCATAGTGATTGGGTTATAACAAGTAGTAAGGATTTGTTGAATGAATTAAAGATATATAAACAAAACAAACTACCTCCTTCAAAACTTTTATCTGTGCATCTATCTTTATCAAAATCTGACAAACATGCCACTCTGACTATTGTGTTATTTTTTTATCATATTCTTTTTTGATATTTCTAAATGAAGTCACCATTCCTGGAAAGAGATGCTAAAAATTAAGTGATTATTAGAATAGGTAACTTCAAAATCTTTTGAAGCACTATATAGTTAACGAGTTTTTTTGCCCACAATTCACCCAATAAAGACAGCCTCACATAATTATTCGGGGTGGACAAAATAACCACAAATCTTATTTTAATGCTTGAAAAATGTTCTGTGAAATATTCCATAACAACTTCTTCATCAAGCAGAATTAATTATTCCTTCTATGTCTCCACAGAACTACAGTTACTGACATAGGTGTTTATCGCCACTATAACCCCCACACACCAAATGACTGAGTGCTCCTTGCAGACAATCAACAAATGCATGCTGAATTGAGCTGAACTGGAATGTACAAACATGAAGAAATGGCAAAACAGACAACGTGACATCGAAAGCGTTACCTAGAGCACGACTCTTTGGGAATTTTTAGTTCATAATATATCTTCCAAGTACCACAGTTTTTTGCCTTTCAGTAATTTTTTTTTTCCTTTTTGTCTTTTTTCGTGCCCGGCAACGGATCGCAACCCTCAGTGTCGCGCCCGTACCGGACGGGGACTGGCTACGGGATCACAACCCTCGGTGTTGCTCCCGCACCTCACTCAGCCAGTGAGCGGCCGGTCTGTATGTGGGATCCGAACCCTCGGCGGGAGCGCCACTGCGCTTCCCAAGTGGCGCACTGTAGCAGTGCGCCACCGGGCCGGCCCTGTAATTTTTTTTTTAATCAATAAACTATATATATTTGGAGTGATCTCATCACATAAGCTCATTTAAATATGTGGAGCACCATAACACATATTTTATATTACATATATGCAAGTAACATTTCGGTGGTTCATAAACAGTGTGAACAGCCTGAAGGTGATCAGTAAAGCTAAAGCTAATCAGGGGGAAAATGAGTGTGATTTCCCATCTGTAGGTCAAGTGCAGGCCCTGTCTCTAATCTCTGTGATGATGGTTGTGATCCTATACAAAATGCAAAACACATAAAGGAGTAATTAATACTACAGGAGAAAAAGGAAATGTAATTGAGTCATCTGTGTACCTCTAACACCTACCACAGGACTTGGTGCATAGTCAGCACACAGCAGGCACGTAGTATTTGCTAGGTGGATGATGGACATATTAATAAATAATCTAAAATGTGATATTCAGTTTAAGAATTAGATTCCTGAGAGTTTGGTTAAGTTGAATCAGGTTTCTAAATTAAAGGCCAAATTGAGGGCCATACTCAAAATCTATGATAATTCACCGAATAATGTCAGCATTGTACACATTATGGGACTGAGTAAGTAAACAGGCAAAAAGTCCTTACTTCCATATGGAGTCTCTATCAGTAGGATACTTAGTTAAATTTTTCAGCAGTTCCACCAATGCAAGATGAATCCCTTCTTTTGTTGAAACATTAGTACAGCATAAGAGTTCATGAAGAGCCTCTCTAATATCTCTGGATGAATCCTTAAAAAAAAAAAAAAAGGTAATAGTAATAGCAGTAGTCACTGTTGGTTATCAGACCCAGCTTCCATCCACCATCCCCTTCTCCCTTAGCCACCTACCCATCTAGTGTGGCCATGTGACAAACTATGAGAAGTTTGCTGGCTGAAATTCCTGAAAAAGCCTTCATTTTATTGATCAGAAAAAAAAGAAAAAATACAGCAGCCTTGCCCCCTTTGCTTTTTAACCTTCCTTTTCCTTCCTGTCTGGCACCCTATCATGAGCTTTCGTATAAGAGGCTTTTTGCAGCTATAAAAAAGGACAGGCTCAGAAGTCCAGAGAAAAATTAAAGAAAGGGCCTGGGTTCCTCAACACTGCTGAGCAGCTTCTCCAGCTCCTGGACTGCCCAGATTTGGACTTACCGTGTATAAGAAAAATAAGCCATTATATATTAGACTGCTGTTGGTTAGTCTGTTAACTGCAGCTGAATACATTCCTAATTTACAAGATTTTATTCAATACTAATTTGTTTTATCAGAAGTACCATACAATCCAGCAATTCCACTACTGGGTATGTACCCAAAGGAATGGAAATCATCATGTCAAAGGGATACCTGCACTCCCATGTTTATTGCAGTTCTATTTACAATAGCCAAGAGATGAAACCAAATGTCCATCAGTGGATGACTGGATCAGGAAAATGTATATATACACAATGGAATACTACTCAGCCATAAAAAAGGATGAAACTCTGCCATTCACATCAGCATGGATGAGCTTGGAGAAAATTATGTTAAGTGAAATAAGCCAGGCCCAGAAAGAGAATGTTCTCACTCCTAAGTGGGAGGGGAGAAAGAAAGAGAGAGAGAAAGAAAAAAACAAAGAAACAAGAGGAAGAAAGAAAAAGAGAGGAAGAAAGGAGAAGAGAGAGAAAGAAAGCGAAAAAGAAAGAAAGAAAAGTTGAACTTTCATAATGAGAACAGAACTGTGGTTACTAGGGGGAGGTGGAGAGGAGACAGTGAGAAAATGGTTAATGGACACAAAACAGCTAGTTAGAAAAAATAAGTTCTATTGGTGTACAGTAGAGCTAGGCATCTATAACTAACATTAATTTACTGCATGTTATCACACAGCTAAAAGAGAGATTGAATGTCCTCATCACAAAGAAATGATTAGGTTTTGTAATGATGAATATGCTAATTATCCTGATTTTATCATCACACATTGTATACAGGTGTATCAACTCCATACCCTACAAATATGTATAATCAATTACATTTCAATTTTCTTAAAAATAGAAAAAAATAAAAATAAACAAATAAAAATAATAGTGATTTGTTCTGTCACTCAAAAACTATTTGCTAAGGTTTTTCTAGGGATCAGGTACTATATTAAGCATTAGGATAATATTAGTACCTATGGTCCTTGGGCTGGTCAGTTAGCTCAGTTGGTTAGAGTGCAGTCTTATAACAGCAAGGTCATGGGTTCAGATCCCCCTACTGGCTGGCTGCCCCCCAAAAAGAATTTGACCCCTAATTTCAAGGTGCTCACAGTACTCACAGTATAGCGATGGGCAAGTATGCAACAATCACATTTCAGGGTGCTGTGAGAATGTGGAGGATCATACACATAGCTCTGTCTGGAAGAGTTATAGAAAGACTCATAAATAGTAATGCTATCACCGATTCTTGAAAAGTCAATGGGAATTCACCAAACAGATGGAGTAGAGGTGGTAGGCATGTCAAGAAGCATAAATCTGATGTACTAAGGCATGAGAGAAAAAAGGATACTGAAGGAGCTACAAATACAGTAGTTCGGGGTGGCTGAAGTGTAAAATATTTGACAGGAGTGTAACGGCGGCCACAGTTCCTGCTCTCCAGAAATTCACTATCTAGAAGGTGAGACATATGCATGAAGACAAATAGTAGCAATCAGATAATTGCTGTTATGGAGGAGGGTACAAGTTACAATGGAAGTACAAGATAAAGAGTCTCTCATTTTTCTGAGAGAGGAGGGGCTGGTAGTTGGGAAGACTTCACAGAGGAGGTGACATGAGGTGAGATCTAAAGAATTCATTTATTTGTTCATTCATTCATTCACCCATAATTCAACAATGATTGGGGGGTTTTTTTGTTTGTTTTTTGGTAGCTAGCCAGTATGGGGATCCGAACCCATGACCCTGGTGTTATTAACACCACGCTCTAACCAACTGAGCTAACTGGCCAACCCTAAAATTCAACATTTATTAAACACTTTCTAAAAATTCAAACATTTATCAGGCACCTATATATGCCAGATAATGGGGACATAGCAGTGATTAAAATCAAATCCACCGGAGCTTCATTATAGTGGGAAGACAAAAATAAGTAAATAAATATATAGATTAGACAGAGATAAGTACTATGGAGAAAATATAAAGCAGGTTAAGGGGAGGAGTGCTGAGATAGGTGGGATTATTTTACATAATCAAAAGGAACAGTATAATCAAAAGGAACAGAAAGCACAAAGGCCATGAGGTGGAAGCACGTTTGAAAAATAGCAAGAAAGCCAGCGTGGCTAGAGCAGAGTAAACAAAAAGTGAATAGTAAGAGATGATGTCAGAGAAGTGGCCTCTGTTCCCAACACCTGCTGTTCAACCTCACTAAAATGATTAGAAAAGGTGGTCAACAACTTCTTCATGCTAAATTAAATGGACACATACCAGTTCTAACCTTGCTTGATATCTCCATAACATTTTTTACTAGTTCGTTAAAACTTTTAAATATGGACAATTTGAAAGATATGAATATGTAAAAGTAGAGACAATAAATCTCCCAGTTTCAACTGTACTCATAGCCAATCTTGTTTCATCTATACTTTTACCCACTCTTCCAAGTCATGTTTTGAAGCCAATCAGAGAAATCATAGCATTTTATTAGTACATATTTCCATAATAACTCTAAAAAGTAAAGATGCTTTACAAAAAATAACTACAATACCAATATCATGCCTAAAAATCTTAATAACTCCTAATATCAATTATCAAGTTAGTATTCAGTTTTTTCTCACTAAAATTTTTTGTTTGCTTTGGCCGGCCCGGTGGCGCACTGCTACAGTGCGCCGCTTGGGAAGCGTGGCGGCGCTCCCGCCAAGGGTTCGGATCCCACGTGGAGACCGGCCACTCACTGGCTGAGCGAGATGCGGGTGCAACACCGAGGGCTGTGATCCCGTAGCCGGTCCTGGTCCGGTACGGGCGCGACACTGAGGGTTGCGATCCGTTGCCGGTCACGAAAAAAGACAAAAAGGAAAAAAAAAATTTTTTTTTTGTTTGCTTTAATCAGGCTCCAAATAAGGTCCACACATTGCAATTAAGTAATATGTCTCTAAAGTATCTTTAAAAATATAAAATGTCTTTCCACCTAGTGTTTTTCCTTGCAATTTCTCCCCTTTATGTCCTATAATGGTAGTTGGAGGGTTTAACTGGTTTGGGGTCAATTTTTTTAATAAGATCATCTCATGGTACTTCCTTCAGGAACTATAAGATGTCTTTTTCTTTTCTGTGATGTTAGTAACTAACCATTGATGAACACTGCCTCGATCTAGTAATTCATTAACGATGTAAACTGATATACAAATTCTATCATTCTTCTTCATTTATTACCTGGAATACTTCTATAAAGAGAAACTTCTCTTTATTAACTGTTTGGTTATCTTGAAGTTCGGTTTGTTTAGGAAAAAGAAAAATAAATGCTTGATATTTTAATTTACCAATTTTCAAAATAATGAGTTGACTATTTGGCATCTTCCAAAGATGACTAACAAGGTGTTTTTGTTTTTTAATTATCATGAATCTTGACATATTTGTAACTATTCTTACTGATGTGTTCCAACTTTGGCCAATGAGAGACTATTTAAATTCTCTCCTAGTCTTTTTGATGTGATCCTAGAGGACTTTGATAGCTAATATCTGCTTTCTGTACAACTAGATGGTCCAAGCTCATCTTATTATGTTTTCTGCCACAAACCTGGAATCAGCCATTTCTCTTAGGAGCCTTGGTTCTTTTTAGGGAGAAATGGGATCTGAAAGCATTTTTTTTTAAAGTCAGATTAACTGACATATAATTTACATTTTGTAAAATTCACTCTTTTTAGTGTATAGTTCTATGAGTTTAACAAATGCAGGCAGTTATGTAACCATCATCACAACTAAGATATGAATACATCCATCACCCAAAAACTTTTCTCGTGTCCCTCTGTAGTCTTCCACTCACACCCCAGCTTACTTTCTCAAAACGTCATACAGATGGAATCATACAGTATCCTTCTTTTTGTCTGGCTCCTTTCACTTAGCATAAAGCATTTGAGATTCATCCATGTTGCCGTGTGTATCAGTAGTTTATTTCTTTTTATTACCGAGAAGAATTCCACTGTACGGATGTATCACAGCTTACCCATTCACCAATTGAAAGATTTTAGATTGTTTCCAGTTTTGGATTAATCCATATAAAGCCACAATAAACATTTACATATAGGTTTTGTGTGAACATAGGTTTCGATTCTCTTTAGTAAATACTTTGCAGTAGGATTTCAGGTCATATGTTTAACTTTTAAGAAACTGTTACACTATTTTTTTCAAAGTGGCTCTAGCATCTCGCACTCCCACCAGCAAAATGTATGACAGTTCCAGTTGCTTACTATATTAGTCCATTTTTGTTGCTTAACACAAAATACATGGAACTGGGTAATTTATAAGAAAATGAAATTTATTGCTCAGTTTCTGAGGCTGGGAAGTCCAAAGTCCATCTCGTGGTGGTGACAGTGACCCAAGGGTCTCACATTGCAAGATGGTGGAAGCAGAGAGAGACTTTTAAAGCCCTCAGAACCACGCCCCTGACCACCATTTTTAATCCATTCACTACTGCATGGTCCTACAATCCAATCACCTCTTCAAGGCTCCACCTTTCAATTACCGTAAAAGGATTTCCCACCCTCTTAACAGTCACAGTAGGGGCCAAGTTTGTAATGCATAAAACTTGGGAGACAATTTAAGCTTCATTGAGTTTTGGGGGGACATAATTCAATCCACTACATTTCACCCCTGGCCCCCCAAAATTCATGTCCTTTTCACATACAAATACATTCATTTCATCCACAAAGTCTCAACTAGTTTCTTTTTTTTTTTTTTTTTTTTTTTTTTTTTTTTTTTTTCTAGTTTCAACTCAAAAGTCCAAAGTTCAAAGTCACATCTGTGAAATCAATACACGTTATATACTTCCAAGATACAACGATGGGACAAACACAGGGTACACATTCCCAATCCAAAAGAGAGAAATAGGCCAAAAGAAAGGGGTAACAGGTCCTAAGCAAGTCCAAAACTCAGAAGGGCAGGCGTTAAATCTCAAAGCTGGCGTATCATGTAACTTGACTCCATGTTCAACCTCCTCTGCATGCTGGTGTCCCCAAGTCCTTGGGCAGCTCCACTCTTATGGCTTTCCTGGTCTCAGGTGATGCTTTAGCTCTTGGAGGCTGGTGTTGAACACTGGTAGCTCCACAGGTCTGGGGTCTCTGTAGTGGTCTCACTCTCATGGCTCCACTAGACATGGCACTGATGGGGTTTCTCTGCTGCAACTCCAACCCCACTTTTTCACTCGGCATTGCTCTAGCCAAGGTTGTCTACAGTGATTCTGCCCCTGTGACAGATCTCTTCCTGGGCCCCCAGACTTTTCCATACATCCTCTGAAATGGGGGTGGAGGCTCCCAAGCCTCCACAGCTCTAGCATTCTGCAAGCCTGCAGACCTAACACCACATGGATGCCAAGGCTTCCAGCTTGTATTTTCCAAAGCTGCAGATCCAGCCACACCTGGGGCCAGTTTAGTCACAGATGGGGCAGCCAGAGCAGCTGGGGTACTAATGCTGGAAGCAGCTTCCTGAGGTGGTCTTAGGCAGTGAGCCCGTGGAGGGCACCTCAGGTCTGTTCCCCAAGACCATTCTGTCTCCCTAGGCCTTTGGGCCTGTAATGGAAAGGTTGAACCCAGAGGTTTCTGCAGTGCTGTCAGAGCCCGTTTCCCCTTCTCTTGATAATCCTGTACTTTTGTGTTAATCTTCTTATAACCATTGAATTTTCCTTCTGAAAATACTCTCTGCTTCTCCACCACATGGCCACGCTGCAAATTTTCTAAATCTTTATAGTCTGCTTCCCTTTTAAATTCTGGCTTTACATCATGCCTTTTCTGCCATAACTCAGCGTAGGCTGTTACAAGTAGCCATGCTGCTTCCTTAATGCTTTGCTGCTTAGAAATTTCTTCCACCAGATACTCTGGTTCACTACTCCTAAGTTCCAACTTCCACAAAGTCCTAGGGCCTGGACACAATGCAGCCAAGTTCCTTGCCAGTTCACAACAAGGATGATCTTTTCCCCAGTTTGCAATAAACTCCTTATTTCTATCTGAGACCTCCTTAGAATGGTCTTTATAGTCCATATTTCTATCAGCATTCTGCTTGCCACCATGTAACCAGTCTCTAATACAGTCCATACTTTCCCTTGTCTTTTTGTCTTCTGAGTCCTCCAAACTCCTCCATCCTTTGCCTAATACCCAGTTCCAAAGCGGCATCCACATTTTCAAGTACTTGTAAGCAACACTCCATTTCTCTGGTACCAATTTTCTGTATTAGTCCATTTCATGTTGCTATAACAGAATACCTGAGACTGGGTAATTTATAAAGAACAGAGGTTTACTTGGCTTACAATTCTGGAACAGCTGCAACTGGTGCAGGCCTCAGGCTGCTTCTACTCATGGCAGAAAGCAGCAGGCAGCCAGCAGGTACAAGCAGATCACATGGCAAGAGGAAGCAAGAGAGAGCAGAGTGAGAGAGACAGACGCTCTTCTTCTTTTAAAGCACGCAGAACTATGCCCCTGACCACCATTTTTAATCCATTCACTACTGCACTGTCCTACAATCCAATCACCTCTTTGAGGCTCCACCTTTCAATTACCATAATAGGATTTCCCACCCTCTTAACAGTAACAGTGGGGGCCATGTTTCTAATACATAAAACCTGGGAGACAATTTAAGCTTCATTGAGTTTTCGGGGGACATAATTCAATAGACTACGCCTACCAACCTCACCAGCACTTGATATTGTCAGGGTTTCTTTATTTTGTTTCTTAGCCATTTTATTAGGAGTGTTATAATATCTCATAGGGGTTTTAATTTGTGTTTCCCTAATGACTAGTAATGTTAAG